CAGTGGTGCAAGCACCATAACCATGCAGTGGCTGAACACCAGTAACTTACGGGTCAGGGTAAATGTGCAATGCCTTTGTTTGATATGCATTTCATTCTTGGGTCAGGCTTCTGGGAGAATCTAATATACAGAATTCCAGCATTTGTGCACTTAAAAAGGCGGCAAACCTAGAACAGTGGCTGAGCAGCTGAACTCCAAATGGCTTGTAGCTTTACATTTGCCCTAAATCTATGTTTTTCTTCCACTTCTATTCTAGGTTCATCCCTAAAGATCAATACTACTGTGGTGTACTGTATTTCACAGGCAGTGATATATTCAATAAGAACATGAGAACTCATGCTCTGGAAATGGGCTTCACAATCAATGAGTATACGATCCGTCCCTTGGGCGTCACTGGTCAGTCTAGACCTTTACATGTAGTTTTCTTTATAGTTTCATGTTTTGTGCGATTATCTCCTTAAATCGGTCTCTCAGTGTATTGGAAGTTGTGGTAAATACAGTAGTTAATGAAATTTTTCACTGTGGCCTTTCTGATACTTGACACCATTATAGCAGGGGGAGGCAGGCTACTATGTACAGGCAGTATACGATAACTCTATCAGGCCACCTAATCTACTTGGTCTTACTGATGTACAGGCTGGATTTTCAGTGTAAAGCACAACAAATGTTTTCTTGTTCTTTTAACATGATCTTTTTTTTGTCCTTCCGTTCTTTGGTGGAGGGCTTACTATATCATATATGTGTGTATAAATGTATGTATTTTAATTGCATAACCATGTAGCCCCAAGGTTAATTGGTTATCTTTTTTCTTCTGACACTGAGAATTAATATCTAAATACTGTATGAGTCTGTGGGGGTTTGTTGTTTTTTTGCTGTTGTTGTTTTTTAAATCTGTTTTGCTTACAGCAGTTTGTCTTAATCTTGCAATGCATTTGGCAGTCCAGGATTGTATGGAATTTCCACGTTTCAAATAGCATCTGTAATATGCTTGCAGGAGTTGCTGGGGAGGCCCTACCAGTAGAATGCGAGAAAGACATTTTTGACTACATCCAATGGAAATACAGAGAGCCAAAGGATCGGAGTGAATAATTGCTTGTCTAGGTTTGTGACTTGAAGAGACATTTTCATAGCTTTTCGCGAACATAGAAACTGCATTATCTTTCTTTGGATGTTACTGCAAAAAGTGTATAGTAATGATACTTTAAAGTAAGTCCATGGCACTAGTGCAAAATGTCTAGTAAAAATCAAATCCTTTCTCCACTCTAGATAAAGAGGATTAGAATCCTAATGCAACATAGTGCATCAGCACTATCTGATCAGCGTGATAGATATCGACACTGGATAGTGTCGTTACTTTGCCTTTTAATTTATTTGTCCTAGTTGGCTGACATACTTTATCCCCCTTAAGCTATAACCATCCCTTGCCTCTTAATGATGTTATTTTTCTGATTTTATGGTCTAATGCTTCTAATATTTTAAAATTTGACTTGGCTCTGAACCATTCCTTTTATCGTTCCTTTGTTCAGCTGTAACTTCTTACAGCTCTCTACAGACAAAAAGGAACAGTATAGCTATAAATGTTCATGGAGAGTTTGAAGTGGATGTGACTAGACAAAATTTAAAAATCATGTACCTTAAGAGAAAACCAACATATCTTTCTTTCTCTCCCTCTCCCAACATTCTGAAGTGTTCTGAGATACAGTCTTGCATAAAACTTTAAAGAGAGAAACACCCATTCTTGATGTAGGCCCAAGATTCTGTTTTCAGTGTAGGGTGTGACTTTATTTTTCCAACATAAAGCCTTATCCAAGAACTTTAAGTGGTAAAGAACAAGCAGGGTCTCTGCTTTTTAGTAGTTCCTCTCTCAAAAAAAAAAAAAGTGAAATTGTCCAACACAGGCTTTTAACAGATGACTATTTTTAATCTAGCAGCAACATTCCTGCTTCTGAAGACAGACTGCACCTCTTTGGTTGGCTAACCAGCCTTTTCCTGAATGAGACTGAATTTTTGGTTTGATGTAAGCGTGTTCTGCTAGCTCTTTCCTCTGATATGTCTGTAGTTCTCAACTTTTTTATATGCAAACCTGACAGCTCTGCTAGCTCCTTTTAAATCATTTTGAGAGGTAATGACTATTATGGACTTTAGAGGAGCTCCAATCAAGATTGCATTACTTAATTTTATTTGAGACAAGAATTCTGTGTATGAACTTCTTAAAGTGACTAGTTTTTATTAGTAAAATAGCAACTTTGACATACTACAGAGCATGTGTATGGAACACATCGCTGTCTTTGTGTCTGGATACCTTGTGGGAGTAGAAGGCAAATATATTATAGAACTGCAAGCTTGGAAAACCAACTCAAATAAGAAAGACTTTATAGATAGTCCAATTGACTATTACTAATTCAATGTTAATTGATTTGTAAATAGTTAGGTCCTTTAGCAGCCTTTGTGGAGGCAGAGAAGAACTTGTATCTGTACTGGCAGAATACATAGCCTTGAATGAATTGTGGAACAGACATATTTTTTACCTTACTTGAGCCTACAGAACACCAAATTTGCTTGTTCTTATATAATTAGTGTTGGTCGTTCTTAGTAATAGAGATTATATAGACTAATACTCTTGCTTTTCCCTTACCTGATGTCTTCCACTGCCTCATAGTAAAAAGACATTTAGCTGCTGTATTTAGTGTTTTCTTCAATAATCAGCGGAAATAAAGTGATATTTCAATCCACTGTTTGACTTCTTTATATAGGTGTCATTTTTAAAAGCATTTGAAAGCAATAACACAACATTTACAAATGTTTCTTAAGTAGCATACAGCATTACACTGATGCAGTATACATAATACTAGGTAGCCCAGAAGACTACTTTGTCTTGGGACTGGAGACAGAATTTGCTGGCCTTGTATTTTTTCTCGATAGCACACTTAATCCTTCTGGGTAGAAGAAAAATGGCGTGTTCAGAGGTTGTTGGTTTTGTGTGTTGTTTTTTTTTTTTTCCCCCTTAAACGATATAAAACGCTGTAGTTGGTTTTTGTTTTTCTTTTTTTTTTTTTCCTCCACAGTATCACAGAATGGTTTGGATTGGAAGGAACCTTAAAGATCATCTAGTTCCAACCCCCCTACCCTGGCCAGGGACGCCTTCCCCTAAACCAGGTTGCTCAAAGTCTCATCCAGCCTGGCCTTGAGCATCCACAGCTTCTCTGGGCAGCCTGTGCCAGTGCCTCACCACCCTCTTTGTAAAGAACTTTTCTAATGTCCAATATTAAATCTCCCTTCTTTCAGTTTAAAACTTACTGCTATGCTCTTTGATGAAGAGTCCCTCCACAGCTTTCCTGTAGGCCCCCTTTGGGTATCGGAAATAATTTTCCTTCCCATCAAGTTATTATTCTGCAATGCTTTTAGTTCCTTACAATTCTTTCCTTCCTCAGCACTGGACTGCACAATAGCAGGCAATCACTGGAGGCAGTTGCTGCAAGCCTCGAGTGTGTTAAAGAGAGTCTGTCAAAGTGGGTGGTGTGCTCATACCACCAGGTAGACAAAGACTTGCAGCTGCGCTTCCTCAGCGCTGGCTGCAGGTTTGGGCCGAGTTCACTCTTCTCCCGCTTGCGACGTCTTTTATCGGGCTCGGGGCTGCTGACCTCGGCGTGCCGCTGCGCCTTGCTACGGCTGAGGAACTCCAGTTTCTGTCTGCGCGTAGCACGAGCAGCTCGAAACGGCCGGGAACGAGGAGGGGGGCAGAAGGGGCCAGCAGCGCCACGCGGGCACGCTCGCAGCGGGCCCCTCCGCGGCCTCCTCCCGGCCCCGCGCGCACCTTGAGCCGGCCGAACGCGGCGCCGGCCCCCGCCGCCTCCCCTCGCCCCGGGACCCGCCGAGAGCAGCGGCGAAAGCCCCGCCCCCCTGCGGCGGCCGCCGCGCGCGCCCGCTCCCCCTCGGCCGCGCGCCCCCAGCCCCGCGCGCGGCACCCCGGCGGCCCTCAGGGGCGGTGGCGCGGCGGGGCGGCGCTGCGCATGCGGGCTCGGGGCGACCGAGAGCTGTCCCGGAGCGGAGCGGCCGGCAGGTAGCGGCGGGGCCCGGGCGCGGCGCGGCTCTACTGGGCTTCGCGGAACCGGCCCGGCGGGGCCCGGTGGCGTCTCCCGGCCCGCGCCGGGGCGAGGGCCCCAGGGGGGAAGCCGGGAGCGCGCTCGGCGGCTCGCTCTGGCCGGCGCCGCCGTGCCCTTGGGGGGGGCGTCGCGCTGGCCGGAGGGGGCGGCTCTGTGGTGGCGGCCCCGTGGCGCGGAGCGGGCCGGGCCGGGCCGGGCCGGGCCCTCCCTGCGGGTGGTCGGGGTCCCGCCGGGGCTCCGGCGTCCGGGCCTGGAAGCGGCGAATGGCGCCGTTGCGAAGGGCCGCGCGTTCCGCTCCGCTCCGCTGCCCCGAGGGCGGGGCCGCTGCCGCGGGGCCCTGCTGCGGGCGCTTGGCCGGGGAGGGTTGGCGGTGTCTGCGCCGTACCCGAGTGCGGGCGTTCTCTGCGCGTTCCCTCGCATCGCCAGTTCGGCGTTTTATTTTCGCAGCTGACGTGCGGTTGTTGACTACTGCGTGCTGTAGCTAAAGATGGCAGCGTTAACGATCGCTCGCCCTAGCCTGTTATTCCTCAGTGTTTTCTCCCTGTGGCTGTTGTCATGATTTCCGTGTTGGAAAGCAAGTCCAAGTATGATATTAAGAAGATACTGTTTAAAAAGAAGACGTTTACAATAGGTAGTGAGGCTTATTTCTGGCGAACCTATTTAAAAAAAGAACACATGCACACACACACACACACACAAAAAAAAGTTGAAACTTCTGAATTGAGAGGTTTGTGTGGAAAAAAACATGTTTTATCAGAAATATATGCTCTGCTCCATAGCTAGGTTGCCAAAACCATTGTATGTATTAAAACTCTATTGTTGTAAAAGTCTATATTGATTGTTTTTCATCAGTTTAACAACTCACCGATTTTAATTTTTCCTCTCCGTGTTTGACAGGTTAAAAGGCCTTTTTATGTAGTAAATTTGAGAAGTGCCTATCTTATGACCTGATCTTCAGATAAGGAACCTGCGGTCATGTCCAGCTGTTTTATATCCTCTAGACCCACGGGTACATATTGATAGATATGTAGTGCAGGTTAGATATTAAGTCATTGAACGTAGAGCATTTTTTCACCGTGGGATGCAAATTGCATGACGGCTTCATTTCAGGAAGGGGCTCACTATCTGAAAACAGGACTTAATTGCTTAATATGGATACTGTTGCGTTTGTGACAGAGCCTGAGTATTTTGCAAAACTATTTGGATTTTGATTACCTGTGTTTTTAGAAAGCAAAGTCAGAAGCTGTTAAGGAAATAGATTTCTGGTTATATAAAGGTTTCTAGTTATATAAAAGTCAAAAAAATACTTGTTAGATTTTTGCTAAAAGCATGAGTAGAAAACAGAACACTACGAAATAGAATATTAACATCAGGATTGCGATGTGGGGAAGGGGAAAAAAAGTAAATTGGTGGGAGTGACGTTATGATTTTTTGGTTTTTTGCTTGAGTTATTATTTTATTTCTTTTTCATTAGTCTTTTGGTATGGTACAAGTAACAAATGCGGGGTAGGGGTTTTCTCGTATTGGGTGTTGCAGGGAACAATGTCAGCAATTTGATCAGCTGCGCAAAAAAGTAAATGGCAAAGGGTTAGCATTAAAATTAATCAAAAGCATCATTTTTGATGGCCTTTCTTTTCTGGAGCAGGTGTACCTCTACAGTTAAGTAAACTTATTCTAGAAGGGAAAGATGAATTTTTCTATGACAGGAAGAGCGTTTCTGCTTTTTTAACGTGGATTAACCAATGTACGGTGTAGCGTCACATCTGTCCTTTTGAGTTTTGTAGTCCATATTAGTTGTAGCAGCTATCTGTATTAGAAGGTGTAGTTGTTGCTGTTTTGTACACACAGCGCAGAAATACTGGAAGCTACTGGACAGTGTAATGAGATCTTTATGTATTTTCCAAATCTCTGGAAAACTTCCTAAGAATTTACAAGTTTATATGGAAGTCAGTTATCTTTTCCTTTGGGATTGTTCAGTGCTGACATGGCTTCGCTGCTTGGAGCCCCTTTCAGAAAGGGTCCTGTCATGAAAGCAATTTTGCATATTATTGGAATGGTGATAAATGCTCATGTGAGCTCTTTTTGCAACATAATAGCAGAATGTGAAGTCTCGGTATGTAGTTGAATGTAACGCTGCTCCGAATGATTAGGAGCAGATTGGTTTCTGACAAAGCAGCAATGACACAAGCATGACTTTCATGAACATTCTTCGAAGGCCTTGCAGTTTCTTATCAGTGAAGCACGCATAGGGTACTTAGTCATAGATGTCTATACATGCTTTGAATATAGTTTAGATTTTATGCTGTTAAACCTAGGATTCTTACAGCTTCCACTGTGTTTCAGATCCCATGGCTGTCCCACCATCATACAGTGACTTGGGAAAGTCTGCCAGGGATGTATTCAATAAGGGCTATGGTAAGTAAAATGACAGGTTTGATAGTAATTTCATATTTTGTCTTGGGTGTCTACAATAAAAACACTACTATTTGAGAAAGCCATTAAATACCTCATGGTAGGAATCCAGCAGAAGGATGGACCACCTCGAATCACCAGAATTCCTTCAATCTATCATCACTAAGATGAACAACTGGTGAAATATGAAAATAGGCTATTTCAGGCGAGTGTTCCCTATGTGCCAGACTTGCTGGGTGTGTAGCAAATAAACCTTGCTTGTATATTGTGGTGAAACAGATTCTCTGTACTCTTCTATTTTCAGGATTTGGAATGGTCAAGTTAGAGTTGAAGACCAAGTCTTCCAGTGGGGTGGTAAGTACTGGGAGCTTTCAACATCACCAATATGGAGGGGAGGACAAATTCCTAAAATGGTAATAACTTGATAGCAGGTGTTGCTTCTTTCTTTTGTTTCTCAATTTAAAATTGTTAGCCAACTGAGCTGTTTCCAATAACCATTTGTGGAACTTGTGTAGTGGTACTCCTTTTCCTCTGGTGTGCAAGAATTTTCACATACCTTGTTCAGGATGTATGGTTTTCCTTCCAGTTTGCATTGCAACGTCCATGCACGCAGTTTTTCTTCACCATTATAGGTCTCACTTCTGTTTATGAATGCAGTTGAGATTCTCTGCTGTTGGTTTTTATAAGATTTTTAGTTCACAGGCTTTTCATCCAAAAGGCCAAGGGATAAAAAGGAACCACAGTTTGCCTTAACTTCATTTTCACACATCTCCACTACGCTTATAATGCAGGACCTAATTAATTAATTAAAACTAAATAGTCCTCCTGACATGCTTTGTGTAGAATTTCAGAGCATTTTGTAGGTGTTAATTAAGATTTATAGCACTTAAGGTAATTAGAAAATGTGGTGATCCCCATTTTAGTGGTGGAAAAATGGACCTCCCTTGTGACTTCACAGGAAAGCTGGCAAAACCAAGAATGGAAAAAACAAGAATGGATTTCTTAATTTTGGTCTTTAAACAAAGGCATATGCAATTTATATTAGATAAGCTTATTCTTACAAGGACACTCAATTTCTTGAGCGCTAGCACTTACTGCTATCCTGGTTGATAGGCCTGTCCTGCTTTTCAGCCTCATAACCATATTTGCTTTAGATCCCTTCTCTTGCATTCTTATCATGCAAATTGCATAAGTCATTCCTTTTGTATTACTGCGTGCTGTCTCAGTTGAGTTTTTGATGGATTACTTCTATCGTGCACCCGGCACACAAAGGTCAAGGAACTCCACAGTGTTTGTATTACGACAGCTGTCAATTACTGACATCAAAGAATGTGCGTACTTTTCCTGCCATGAAGTTTTGATTCTCAATAATATGGTAATTGTTAACTACACTATCTTTTGACGGAACATGCGCAACTCTATTAAGTTCTAAAATGGGTTTTTCCTTCTCCATGCAACTTTCATTTTGGATGCTTAACCAGCTGGTAAGGACAGTGACTGTTTTGTCATGTTGGCTTCTTTTTGCTTTCTCTGGTGAGGTTTTCTGTGGGGGATATCGTCTGGTTGTTCTGCATCATATTTTCATTTACATCATGAAGTTTGGCTTGTGTCCATAGTGCTTAATCTCCTGTATGATACATGTACATAAAGCCATTTGCAATCTCTGTTCCAACAATTCAAAATAAGAGCACCATAAAAACAGCATGAGGAAAATAAAGAGCGAGAGATTAAAAAAATATCTACCTGTAAAAGACAGATATGGTATTGGTACAGTTGTCTATTGCTAAAAGTTTTGTGCTCATTAGTGTTTGTAATGAGCATTCAGCAGCAATATATGGTTTAGGGGATGGAAGAGAGGCTGGGCATGAAATGTGAAATCTAAATCTAGTACTTGAGTACTAACAGGATCTCTGATTGATATTGAAATGTTTTTGTTTGCTTTTGATGACAGTTCTTAGTGTAATAAGTCTTTTTCCAACCTAAGCAAGCTCCAGGGCTCTATCAGCACATCTTGATAACAAATATCCAGAACAGAGATGCCAGAAATGATGAGATGCAAAAAGAATAGCTTTGGGTGTGGATAGGGAAGAGGATGATGATTTTGAGTGTTCTGTTTTTAAGATCTAAGGGTAGCGAGTGTTTGCGTTAGCATTTGACAAGTGGAAAAAGGTAAAGTACTTAGGAGTGCTGAAACTCATATTGTCCTCTTGGCAGGAATTTACAGCAACTGGCTCGTCTAACACAGACACAGGCAAGGCTTCAGGTAGTCTAGAGACAAAATACAAGATCAAAGACTATGGGCTTACATTCCTCCAGAAGTGGAACACGGACAACACATTGGGAACAGAAGTTTCCATGGAGGATCAGGTAAGAGGAAGCTGATACTCTGAAAATGTTTCCGCAGTTGGTATGAGAAAATACTGAGTTGAGCAGAAAACACTGAGGAATGAAAGTTACACAAAACTCCCCGGAGTACTAAAAATGCACAGACTGAGAGACAGCATCATGAATTTTAGTGCAGGGAGTGCAAGCATAACCACAGCCAAGCACTGCTACATAGCGATACAAAGATACAGTTATTGCAGATGCCAGCATGCCAAATTAGCTGGTTGAATGAATATCACTATTATCCACTCTAAACACAAGGGTGTTTTTTTGTTGTTTTTTTTTTTTTTTAAATCAATTTTAGCTATGTAGAGCTGTCACTGCTACAGTCATGAAAGAAAACCGGAGAGGATTCTCTGTTTTAAATGCCATAATACATAAGGCTGTAAGTTTGGCTGCCTTGAGACTTAAGGCTTCGGCTGAAGGTTGAAGAGAAAATTTGCAACTTGATGCTGGTTAAGCAAAGGGTTGCTGTTATACAACACTCTCAAAATACGAAACTCCTTTTCAAAGTCGATAGCTTTCTGCTTTTCACAACTGCCTATGAACTAAGGTAAAATTTCCAAAGGTAATAAAAGTTTTGGGGTGCTCTCCACTATATGTGTCCATCCCTTTTTATAGTTAAGGTTTTGCAATTTTACCAGTGCTTTAACACATTCAACTCAAAATGAGGTGGAACAGCTGTGCCCAGTACATGGTTTGGCCAGTGAAGTAGTACTGTGTCTCAGAATATGCATAGGTTCTGACAGGGATTCTTAAGCTCCAGCATGGATTATTGGCTCTATAGGGAATAAATAAGTAAAACTGAAGAGTTTTCTTTAACAGTTTCTCATTTTTCTTGTCAACACTAGGTTTGAAATATTCCCATAATAACAAATCTGTAAAGTGTGTGCTGTTAATGGTGCCTCATTGTAGGAAGAAATTCCCAATTTTAATCCTTTATCATACAGCACCTACAGATCTCTTTGTAAAAATGTGTGGGAGACTTTCTGTTCATGTCACGCCTTCTCTTTAGACCTGAAGTAGCACCATAGTAATGTAATAAAACAAGCCATGTTTTAGCAGAGTTGTGAGCAGACTTCTCTGTTTTTCTTTACAGTTGGCTGAAGGACTGAAGGTGGCTCTTGACACTGTATTTGTACCAAACACAGGGTAAGTATTTTCAGTCACCTTTATCTAAGGAGTCCTAGAATTGCCCTTAACTTCTCATTAGAAATGCTTATACTGTACATTGTGTAAATGCTCAAAACTTACCATTACTGACTGGTCACATTCAAATATTGCAACAGGAAGGAACTCATGGTTTAAAAAAATGAAAAATCGAGAACTTTGTTCTGCAGGTACTATAGAGTATTTTGAAGGCAATGAGCAGAATAAGCTCTGCTAGAAATGACTCTGGCTTTTTGGCCACTGCAAATTTATTGTTTTAGAGGAGGTATTGTATTCCTGTAACTTGCTCCTTGAATAGCTAGGTCTTACAGGGACTGCTTAATTTGTACCATCTTTCTCATGGTGTTCATGGTTCAATTGCTGTCAACCCAGTGCCTTAGGAACAAAAAGCAAAGCTTTTTCTTTTTTGTTTTTTTCTCCTTGAAGCCTGTGGAAGTAGAACAGCCTGTGTATTATGATAGGCGGTGGAATAGCACTTTTTTTTTTCTTTTTAAAATTATTTATTTCTTTTTTGGTTGACAGAGCAAAGAAGATGTGTATATGGGGTATGTATGTCTGGATAAACATCAAGCTTGAGACTGCTTTGTAAATAATTACTGGTATTTCTTTATCGTTGAGAACAGCATAACAGAAGAAAAATCAGAGTTTTCGATACTACTTGGATATAAGCAATTAGAAAAAGAGTTAAAAAGTAGCCTCCAGGCCTGGGTATGAGTGATGGCCAGCACGGTGTCCTGCTGTATCTTCAAAGATAAAGGAGGCTGGGGAGAGGATGATGGAGGTGATAAAATTCTGTTGCAGTTAACTTTGAATCGGTAGCAAAAGGAGCAGAAAGACACATTGGTGAGAGAGGAACAGGCTTCTTTGGAAGACAGACTAAATGGATGATACATGGGGGATGAGGAAAATTCCTTCTCAGTAAGGGAGTGTGGTATCCAGCAGTGAAGGAGGAAGGAGAGTAGGCAGTGCACACAAAGGAACAGTGGAGAGAACTGAGCAGCCAAAAAAATCATTAAAGGACAAAAAGAGCAGCTATCACTGTGGGATGTCGCAGATGCTGCTGAAAGAAATTGATGGTGCCATAACATATTGCAACTATTTGCGGTGAACAGAATTTGAAACCTGATATGTTTTGAGTAATAAGCAAAAAGATTGATGCCTTTATAACTTCTCAAGGATTTTAAGGACGTTGAAAATGTTGGAAGTAGCACCACCAAACACATGTAACATCAGTGTTACCCTCATCCCATGTGCTCTTCAGCAGTTGTGGTGATTTTAAGTTTTGAGTAGGCATTACAGTCATTTAATGCACTGGCCCTAAAGAACATACATACAGGATTAAAACTACCTATAATATAGACCACAAGGGATAAAATTAAATGTTTCTCTGCAGGAAGAAGAGTGGAAAGTTGAAGACCTCCTACAAAAGAGAATATCTAAATCTAGGCTGCAATATAGACATTGATCTCTCTGGACCAACCATCTATGGCTGGGCAGTGCTGGGCTATGAAGGCTGGCTTGCTGGCTATCAGATGGCTTTTGATACGGCAAAATCTAAGCTTTCGCAAAACAACTTTGCCTTGGGATATAAGGCAGGAGACTTCCAGCTGCACACTAATGTGTAAGTATTAATCTGAGCCTAGAGAAAATTATCAGAAGATCCAAGCTAGATTAATAGTGAGAATTAACTGAGCTAGGTAAAATGTGGTAGGAAGGAGGGAGGATGCTGATTTAGTTCAAAAATAATTCACACCATGTTTTCATCTTCAGTACAATTAAAGCAGAGGCAACTTCTCAACTTTTTGTTGTCTGTTGAGACTGTGTTTCAGGGTCATCTTGGTTTTGTGTACACAAGATAATGGCATAAAGGCACTTCACACCATTAGTTTGGAATTAAAGTTGGTAAACTTCAACTTCTATTTTGGCAATAGATAAGAGTCTTCAGTTAAGCTATCTTACCCTTTCCCTCACCAAAGAGAGAGTTTCTGGCTCAGAAATGCCCAGGGTTGAGGAGAGAGGTGTGTGTTGCATAATTCTTGTTTCCAGCTGTCACCTTAGTGTAGCTCTAGCCTTTGCATTCAGATGCTTTGAGAGTCTTTGAACTTTTTATATTTAAACAACTGCCATGCAATAACTTTGTTTTCAGTCTCATCATTCCCATAACTGCCTTAAATCTCCTTCTAGGTTTGTCCCTTTATACATTATCAGAGGCTTTTCTCCTTAAGACAAGTAAAGTTTGTTTTCTGTCAGAATCTCAAACATTGTGTCTTGGCTACTGGTCAGCTGTGGTCAGTTAAGCAAACAATACCCTTGTTATGAGTAAACATCAGAACAGCTGTGAGCTCCAGCTAGGAATTCTATGACCATGGGTCCACTGGACACCTTGGTTCATTTTGAGATAATGATCAAATGATGATGGGAAAGGAAGGGATAATCTCAAGGGTTGCTATTTACTGACACTTGCATCTCTTACAAACAGGAATGATGGCACTGAGTTTGGTGGGTCTATTTATCAGAAAGTTAATAATAAGGTTGAGACATCAGTCAATCTTGCATGGACTGCTGGCAGTAACAACACACGATTTGGTATTGCTGCTAAGTACCAACTGGATGAGAAGACTTCCATTGTGGTAAGTTGTTTTTTTTTTAAAGGAACAAGTATTTCAAGCTCCAATAAATGCTAAAAAATAGTGATGTAAAATAGTTGTTCCAAATAGTTACTGAGAAAGTATGGGAGATAGCAAACTGTTGTGGTTTAAACCACAAGGACTACAAGTCATATGTGTGAAACATCTTTAAAAAAGATGTTTCATCTGTGCTGAAATAGTTGTTAGTCTGTCTATTGTGCCTGAAGCCTATGCAAAATGTGTTTTGAAAAGGTAATATGAGCATGAAATATTTTTCTACATTGTGGATTGGGTAAGAATTAGACAAAACTACTGCAGTAAGGTGACAGTTCAGTTGAGCTTACAGCCCTCTCCTAACACTGAGTTATGTAGCTCTTGAAAGTCAGTCATGGTTATGAGCTAAGTGCCCTTACTGACACTTACCAAGTCTTGCAGAAATGTTAGGGGCAAAAAGCAACATGAATGAAAGTAACTGCATACATAGCAACACTAAGCACTTAGGTAGCAAGCATTTGTTAAGCCTTAAAACAAGAATTAGTTCCAGGATAATTCAGCCAGAATTAAAAATAGGAAATGCTATTGTAAACAGCTCAAAACTTAGTAAAAGATAAGTTTGCATACACATAATTTTTTTGCTCATTCCTTAGAAAAAATAGGGTGGGACTTGATATAGGTGTAGTATACCACAATCTGAAGATAAGATGGGACCTATTTCTTGTGCCTGTTCCAGGTTGAAGGTAAAGTGGAGGAACATAGTGAAAATTTGGTATACTGGAAACTTGAAGGGGAAAAGACTAGAATACACCACAGCTAGAGATCAATCTACAAGTAGCTGAAAGAACGAACAGGGCACTAGAGCAACTTTTTGAGTATTTGTGCATGGCAGTGATTTTTTTTTTCCTGTAGGCTAAAGTGAATAATGCCAGCCTGATTGGAATCGGTTATGCTCACACCCTTCGACCTGGTATGTAAGCCCAACTAGTAGCAAATCCTACTGGTTACTACATTGTGGGTTATTTTACTATCATCTCTACAACAGAATAGGAGGAAAAAAAAAATAGAAATCTTACACAGGTAATATAGAAGTAAAGGCTGTGTATGCACATAAGCTCCTATAACAAAGAAGACACACACTAAGACTCAGACTCAGGTACTTGGTGAGAAGGTGTTATACTGGGACATTATTGTATGAAGACTCTCCTTCCTTGCTTTTCTAGGTATAAAGTTGACTCTCTCAGGCTTGATTGATGGCAAGAATTTCAGTGCTGGAGGTCACAAAGTTGGGCTGGGATTTGAGTTAGAAGCTTAATGCAGTTTTAAGTAAAACAACAAATGGTGCTCTGGAAGAAGAAGGAAAAGCATACCCAGTGTGTTTTGGCCTTAACATTACTCTGAAATCTCCAGCCGTGTGAACTTTCTACTCTTCCAAAGAATGCTTTTAACCCACCCTTGAAGTCCAGCGAGTGCAAGCACCTCCAAAGAAGATACTTGAAGGCATGCATGGGAGTTGTGATGTTTGTGCCCCATGTTTTCACTTGCTTATCATATTCTAAATGGGCTCCTAAAAGGAGAACATCCCACCTCTCCCCATTATTGTATCGCATCCTGCATGTCCTACCTTTCACACCCTTTTACGAAAGGTAATCTGTGTGCTACAGCGTAACATTTGGTTTTACATCAGAAATGAAATAAATGTCACAGTTGGAACATAGCATTGGTTCAGATAAGCTGTTATCTATGCAGTGGGGCTTTTCTTTTTGGTGGATCCTCTGCAGATTATCTGTTAAGTATGGTTAAAGTTTTACTAAACTATATATAAAATTAGAGGGTGGTTGAGGTTGGTTGAGACCTCTGGAGCTTACTTGGTCCAAGTGCCCTGCTCAAGCACGGCTACCTAAAGTTGCTCTTGAAGATCTCCAAGGAACAAAACTCCAAAATCTCTTTCGGCAACCAGTTTCAGTGGTTCATCACCTGCACAGTAAAGAAGTTCTTCTTGATGTTTAGAGGGAAGCTTCGGTATTCCAGTTTGCGCGCACTGCCCTCTTGACCTGGCACTGGGCACCACTGAAAAAAAAGCCTAGCTCCATCTTTGTTACATCTTCCCTTCAGGTATTTTTATACATTGAGAGTTCCCCCTGACCTATCTATTTTCTATGCTAAAAAGTGCCAGCCCTCTCAGCCTTTACTCCTAGGAGAGGTGCTCCTTCCTATCCCTTAGACATGGAGAAGTATTTTTCCCCAACAACATATACACTAACACTTTGCTTCTCTGTGCTGTCTAGGATAACATCCTTACCTCTCACACCTTAGAAAGCAGCTTTTTCATTGAAGGTATCAAAAAGAACAAACCAAAAGTTCACAGTTTTAGATAATTTTGTTCCCATAGAGGAAACACGTATCAGATAACCATTACACTACAAAAAAGTGCAAATCAGCAAAGTTAAGAAAATTAGTTCACAGTTCAGGTATATTAGGAAAGTGACATCTACCATTGATGGTGCAAACTGACTGCAGGTGTTGTCCAGTGTTCATCAGAAAGCCTGAAAGCTAGCAAAACCACCACATGTGGTGCTTAAGGCAGAGAGTAAAAATAGCTACTGTCTTTAAGGCATGATTAAGAACTCTTTCCAAGCAGTTAGAACACGTTTCCTACTCTATCTTCATGAAAAAAAAGCATCTGAGATGTGGATACTATAAGCTATGCCATGTGTCTCTCAGAAGTAGAAGGAGGCATTTTAACTTCCCTTTTCAGAGGCAGCAGCTTATTACAGTTGGCTTCCTCAAGCAGCATGGCTTCAGACGCAGTTGAAGTGATTTTACATCTGGGTTTGTTCTGGACTGTTTCTTTCTTCTACCTGAAGCTGCAGCCAGCTCCAATCTAGAGCCTAAAGTATAAACAGTTAGAAATGCAGAGTTCAACACTAGCTTGCACCTGAGATTGCAAAGATTTAAAAAAATTCACTGTAAACAAGTTAGTCAATATAGTTTCATGATGAACCATGTGATTTCTTAGAAAACACTACGCACAATCTATTTTCTTCAATATTTTACTTGCTTGTCAGTATTCTACTTCAGTAAACAAGCATCCCTGCACACCAATATATTGCCACCACAGGCCCATCCCAACTGCAAAAGTGCAGTTTTATAGTACCTCTGTAAAACAGCCAAGCTCTCTCCCCTCCCCATCTGCCCTTCAAAGGAAGGGAAGTGTCAATAGCTCTGTGCCAAACTGTAAAGCGCCAAAGTCAGTCCCAAAGACATGGCTCTCACTTTCAAGAAGCAGGGAATGTGGCAGCAGTTCAAGTAGGAGAGCGGGTGGTTTCATCTCACACAACTCATATTCTTTTCTTGTTCACAAGAGAAAATAGATTTCCACTAACCCTATTACTTATTTGTAGGCAAAGGTACACAAGCAGAAGTTTGAAGTAATAAGCATCCCCAATCCACTTGTAAAAGAATATTAAGTATGTTACCATAAAGCTCTGCTCCTGATCCTTCATTGTGTCATGCATCACATTTTCTAGTTGGCTAGAGAGTTTTTGTGATTCCAGCAGTAGCTCCTCACTGAAAGAGAGGATTGTTAAACTATTATTTTCTACGGAAGTCTCGTTTAAAGGTAGGGGCAGCACCTCTTGAGCAACTGTGGTTGGCAGGTATGCTGCACAGCACAGAGGAGCGTTAACAGTTTATAAGCTCATAGTGCAACAGGGAAAGTCAGTAGCGTCCTCAGATTTACTGGGATGAGGGAGAAGGAAGCATGTTCAAGTTGGAATTGGGTTCTTATGTGAAGTCACTGTCACTACAGAAAAAGTTGCAGACCATCCTATAAACTAAAGCATGAAGCAACGTACAAGTAAACTAGCCGAGGTCTCATTCCAAATGGTGATCCAGTTCCTTTCAGCAAGCCAGAACTACAAGTGGTTAGTGTAACAGTCTCTCCTGGATGACATAGACCAGCTACCATTCCTTCCATAATGCACCAGAAGTTCCTGCAGCCAATGCACTTCAAATAAGCCCAACCCCTCCAGATAAAACAAACCCCGTATTATTGAGGCACATATGTGGTGTGTATAGCAACACATTACTTCCAGTTGTTCATCAGGAATATTGACAAGACCTAGATTATCCAGCTATTATAGATAGGACTCTTGACACCAGAAGTTGAATGCGAAGTATAGAATGTAAGAATGTATCATTTCTCAAAGCAGGACATCTGGCTTCACAGTGCTGGCATTAGCATCAACAGAACTCCAGCCATCCCCTCACCTTTTCCTGACAGATTCTGATAAATTGTAGGTTCCAGAAGGGACCTGCAGCAGCAGCTGGCCAGGGCTACTAAAACGCGATGTGTTTATGCTCTCTGGACTGCCCGTAACTGGACCACGTACTTTACTCTGAAAGAAAACAGCAGATTCAGACTGCGATCATTTCCACCAACCAGGAATGCAAGAGAGCCTAGAAATTGGCCTCAATCCTAATTCAAATCAGTAGAAAAAAATTACTACAGGACATACTAAGCTTACTATTAATTATTTCAGTTATCTGGGTACAGTTGAACTGGAGTTTTAATTTTACTTACACAAGCAATTTTCAATAAGTTCCACAGTTCTTTCTGTCGTTTCTCCTGAAGCCTAACAACTGTTTCCTCATCTTCATTCATCAGATTCATCACTTTCTCCACTCTGGGGAACAATTCCAGTGCCTTCTGCTTGCAAACAACAGTTTTACTTTAAAAAAAAAAAAAAAAAAAAAAAAAAAAGATTACACATTGGCAACTGCGGTAGGGAAACTTTTCTGAAGTTTCTTATCCCCTGTAACACTTTGTTTTTTAAACCTCTAGAACAGAACCTCTTGCTGAAAATGTTGTCTCTCAACTGCCAATAAAAGCTTAGTCTACAAAGCTCACCTGAGTTGAGCATAAATGACACGGACTTTTTTTTCAAAGGTCTGGATTGCCTGTAGAAGCAGTCGTACTATTTCTTGGCTGTCACCACTTGTCCTCTGATCTGGAATAGTCAGAGTATTACACAGAAAAGTAAGCTTTTAAGACAGAGCAAGAAGCTTTTTAATGGTTTGTTTCCACCACTTCTTCCATCCTGAAACATCCCAGAAGTTCAGGGCATGCATGTTTGAGAGGAATGAAACGCACTGTGTTTTAGCCACCTTCTTCAAATAGATGAGAATTGGAAAGCAGAGTTGAGAGAGTGGGTTTACTGCCTTGGGGCTGTATAATTGCTCAAAGGAACAGTTGTCTTTCATGCTTCCCACAGAGAAATAGAAGCACCAGCATACACTTGCAGTAACAGCTTGCTCTGAGAAGTGTTCAGAAGACTTTCAAGAAAAGGCATTCAGAAGGCATCAAGAAAGCAAGGCCGGCCTGGTTTAAAATTGATTCCCTAACTCTCCTTTCCAAAAAAGCCAAGTCCAGAAGAGTGCACATACAGCTAGCATAAAGGCAGGCCTAGAATGTAGAGAAAGTTTTCTCAATGCAGATTACAGCACCTCCAAAGTAACTACCCACACAAAGCAAGCTGACCTTGACCTAAAGCGTCATTTACCTCTTGGCTTTTCTCTCAGTCTCCGGTACAGCTCTCTGGCTTGTTCTTCTCTAGAAGAAAAAGACACAGAACACAAAGAATTTCTCTAGAACTTAAATTATGAACAAGTAACTCAAGAACTCAAATCTTTCATACATTATTTTAGATCAACAGGGAAGGAGTCAAAATTTTTTTTTTCTAGTGTCAAAGTCCTGCAAGTCCCTCATAATTTGGGCTGAGGAGATAACAGTTTTGTTGTCCTCCAGTGAAATAGGAGCTAAATTTAGCTAGCAACACTCTTAAATCTGAAATTCAAGATAGTTCAACTCACAAATCCTCCAGTATTCCTCCTTGTTTACGACCTAGTGGGCTTCTCTGAAGGTCCACAATGTCTGTCTGCAGAGCCATCATTTTCTTCACTAGCTGATCCACATCATCCTCCTGAAAGCAGGGCAGAACATAAGCAGAGGGGCAGACTTATACTAAGAGATGGCTACCACTCACTGACTATTCCTTTCATTCACATTTCTGAACATGCCAGCAAGATGCTAACAACAACCACAAAGACAAACGAGAACATGAGGGACTTTACATCAAGGAAATAAATTAGCTTTGTGCTCTGGTATAAAGCACTTTCTAAGATTTTTTTGATGAAAAATTTGATCTGTGATGAAGAGCCATTGAAAGGTCATACTTCATAACAAATGTGCTGCTGGTTCACAGGCTGTCATGCTTCCTGCTGCTTTGCTGCTCCAGATCTCTCTCATCCTACCCATCATAGTGTTTCCCCTCCTCCCACAGTGCACAGCCACATCCAGTACTTGGTATCCCAAGTTGTGCTTTCCACCTAAACTTTTTCACATGCAGAGGCAGAAGCTGCCACTTGTCAGACTTCTGTCACTCTGAATCCACCATCTAGAAGACGACCAAGTGTTGGCACAGAGTAAGATGCTGACTAGTCACCTTTCACTCCTCATCTGGGACAGATGATCCTTGGCCATACTTACAGAGTTACACTCTCGTGTCAAAAGCTTTAATGTTATTGGAAGCAGGTGCACAGCGTGCACTGATAATGGGAAATTGCTGCCTTTTCAAAAAGACTGATGCTTGCCTTTTAAAGTCTTGTGTTCATCCATCTAATCATTTGCTTTCCCAATCAGTTTAACCTACTACT